ATAGGAAGGTCAGGACAGGAAGTTGGTGGATATTATATCCCAGCTTGTCTTCCAGCCTCATTTCAAAAAGTGCCAACAGCCCTGGCTGGTGTGGCTCCATGGTTAGAGCATTGGCTCTGACACTGAAGGGTCAAGGGCACATACCTGGGTTCCAGGTTCAGTCCCCAGCCCCAGTTGGGGCATGTGCAGGAGGCAGCCAGTCAATCTGTCTTTCCCAAAAAAGTGCCAATGGAGGAAATAAATCTGAAGGCTTATGGAGATCAGATATTAGAGAAGAGGTATCTCTCTACATTTTAAATAAAAAGCTTTGAAAAATCTTAAAGAATACAGAACGCATAAGATGAGAGTGATAAATTAAACTCCATTAAAGAAAAGATAGTATGTATAACAGTCAGAAGATAAAATATCTCCACACCAGCAAAAAAACATTTATAACATGTGTCAGAGACAAGGAATAACTCTTTAATATCCAAAGAGTTCCTGTGTATCAATAAGAAAAATGACTGGCCATCTAATAGAAAAAGGGGCAAAGGCAATGAATAAACAGTTCACAGAAAAGGAACTACAAATGCTCAACTCAGAATAAGAGAAATTAATTTTAAATTCTTTAGTCCAGTGATTTTCATACCTATTTTTTGTCGTATCGGCAAAAATTGTATTTTTTTGGTGTGCCACAGAAATTTAGTAATTAGCTTATGTGTGCCATGAAACAAAAAGGTTGAAAATATCTGATGTAGTCTATTAAATTGGCAAAGATCTTGATGTTCATTACTACTTTATGGTGAAAAGGTTTTGGGGGAAACTGACAAGCTCAAACATTGTTGGTAGGGGTGTGAAATGGTCCAGCATCTGTGTAGCAATTTGGAAATATTGCCAAAATTAAAAATTTACCTACCTTCTCATCTCAGGAAACCTAAGAAGTTGTTCTACAGATATACTTGTACATCACAAAATGAATTTGCACAAAGACATCCATTGCAGCATTGTCTGTAAACAAAAGATTTAGAGAGAGCTAAATATCCATCAATATGAGATCCCTTAAATAAATTATGAGCAGAAACAAAGCTAGGTAGCTGTTGAAAGGAATGAGGTCATTCTGTATTTGCTGATATGGAATGATCTCTAAGATACAAGGAAACAAGTCAAGTTGCAGGGTAGTGTATAGCCCTTGGGGTTTAATAGGAGTTTGTAGATATGTGCTTATGCTTGTAACTGTTAAGACTGTCTCTGGAAAGTGATCCAAGAAACTGGTAATAGTGATTGCCTCTGGGGAAGAGAACTGGGTGGTTGGGGTGGGGATGGGAAGGACACTTATTTCGTACACCCTTTACCATTGTTTGAATTTTTAAATATGTCAACTTATCTATTCAAATCAAGGTAGCTTTTAAATTTCTTGAGGCTCGCTTGTACTGTTCAAGAATGTTGAGTAGTTGTAGCCCACAGCATCCCTTTGCAACGTTAGATCCATGGTAGTTGCCATAAAGACTCACCCTCACGTCCAGTGGTGTGGCTTAGTGGTTGAGCATTGACCCTTGAACCAGGAGGTCACAGTTTGATTCTGGGTTGCAGGCTTGATCCCTGGTAGGGGGCAAGCAGGAGGCAGCGGATTGATGATTCTCTCACATCTCTGATGTTTCTAACTCTCTCTCCCTCTCACTTCCTTTCTGAAATCAATTAAAAAAAAAAAAGAAAAAGACTCACCCTCACTACTACCCTGATAGGCTAAAGTTCAAGGAGGAGGGAAAATGGAAGCGGTTGCCCTTTGGGACAGGTTGGCAGACCTTGGTTCCCTGCAATTGCCCTGCCCTTGCCACTGTGACCCCACCTAGCTGATTTTACTGGGAGGGAGACCCAAGGGACATTGATTAGGACCTACCTGGGTGGTGATGAGCGTTCATGGAGAACAGACTTCGAAGAAGGTGGTGGCAGAAGCCTAGGCTGGGAGAACACAGAAATGGAGATGGTATTGATTGCTACTCCAACTCCATCAGATGCAGCTTACAGTGATAAAATAAAGAAAACTTATTTTATGGGCCACGGCCTTGAGATTCTCTGCTACCCCTGAGTTTTGGTACGATGTCTAGGAATCTGCATTTTTAAAAGGTGGCCTTGGACCCTAGCTGGTTTGGCTCAGTGGATAGAGGGCCAGCCTGTGGACTGAAGGGTCCTGGTTCGATTCTTGCTTGTGGTTAGGGCATGTGGAGAGGCAACCAGTCGGTCTCTCACATGGAAAAATATCCCCGGGTGAGGATTAACAACAACAAAAAATGTGGCCTTGGTTTTGGGAGCCCATTCTGGGAATCATTGATCTCTTCTGCCTTTCTTCGTTTATTGATGAGAGTATCCCCATTCATCCCTTAAAGTAACCATTTCCTGGAATAACTTTTTTTTTTTTTAAATATATTTTATTGATTTTTTACAGAGAAGAAGGGAGAGAGATAGAGAGTTAGAAACATCGATGAGAGAGAAACATCGATCAGCTGCCTCCTGCACATCTCCTACTGGGGATGTGCCCGCAACCCAGGCACATGCCCCTGACCGGAATCGAACCTGGGACCTTTCAGGTTCTATCCACTGAGCCAAACCGGTTTCGGCCCTGGAATAACTTTTTATGGTATTATACTCTTAAACACATGCTTTCATAAGAGTGATTGTTTCATTGTGCCTTTGTCCTCCTAGAGCCCACAAAATGGTACCGAATATTAAGGTATAGAATAGTGAGACAACTCTGGCCAGGTAACTCAGTTGGTCAGATATGCCAAGGTTATTGGTTCAATTTCTGAGTCAGGGCACATACACGAAGCAACCAATGAATGCATAAAGAAGTGAAAAAACAAATCAGTGTTTCTCTTCCTCTTTCTTTATAAAATAAATTTCTAAAAAAAAAAGGAATAGTAAAACAGAGAAAGCCAAGGTAGCAGCTTAATGGTTGGTAGGTGATATCTTTGGGAAAAAGAAGTATTTGCTGATATAAATTTATATATAAATTTAATAAGCCTGACTTACATGAATTATACTGAAGAAAAGGAAAAACTTGGTGACAGTCGGAGGGATCATGCTGCAAAATAATTTTCCTAAAAGGAAATAAAAATAGTTTAATTATCAGTAATACACATTTATGCAAAGTTAACAGACATAGCCCTTTATTAGGAATTGGCAATTTTAAATAAAAAACAGCAAAGTATACAGGAGGAAATGTTAGATCAGTCTCCTTTTTTATTAACTTCTAAGCATGAAGTCAGGGTTAACTGTGTATCCTAATAAATGAATCACGTAAATACTATGCATTCCTGTCCTTTGTGGAAGTTCTGATAATTTAGTGGCTGTTGTCTTTTTCAAACCATTTCATTTGGAAATTAGGAGGGATAGGCAGCAGCCTGGTAGTGGCGTTCCACCGGAGCGTCAGGTGCCAGAGCAGGGTGATGTGGAGAGCGAAGGTTGATAGATGAGGAAAGGTCAGAGAGGCTCGCTGTCACAGGGGAGGAAGCACTGGATGACCTTTGGGAGCTTGGCATCGCGCAAGACCTGTGGAAGTGTCTAGAAAACCCTTCCCATAACTTTCCGGGGCTATTAAAATTTCAGGCTGCATTTGATCCTTAACTAGTATATCTAGTGTGTCTAATTTCTATGGAATTTAGGAGGAATTTAACTGCATTTCTTTAAGAGATTTAGTAGCATATATTAAATACATTGGGGTAACAGTATTGTGCCCAACTGCTTCTTCTTGCCACACATTTAACGTCTTCCCCCCCCCCCCCCCATACATCCCTCTGTGAAAATAGCTACTATCTCATGGCACTTTGTATCGCAGTACACGGTGTTCCAGAGAAGCAGTATATATCTGACAGGAAGAGCCCTGCATAGGGACCGTGGCTGCGCAAATTCTGTCCCAGCTTCACTTATTGAGCAGCCACCCTGTACACTCGGGAAGCCTCATCTGCTAAATGAGGGTAAAATGGTGGTTGTTGAAATGAGTTTTCTAACTTAGTACTTAGAGACAAAGTGCAATTATCAATCATTAATGAAACTTCTATTTACCTAGAAAACAAATGACCAGTAAACCAAAATGACTACATTTAGCTTTCGGCTTGTTCAGCCCTAGCTGATTTCTTGCTCACCTGCCTTGTGGTGCTATCAAATTTGGAAGTGCCTTGGACATGAAAAACAAATGTACAATTTTGTTACAGTTAGTTGTTTTTAATAGTCAATGGTTGAGCATCCACCTATGAAGCAGGAGGTCACGGTTCCATTCCCCGTCAGGGCACATGCCTGGGTGTTGGGCTCTATCCCCTGTGTGGGGCATGCGGGAGGCAACTGATCAATGATTCTCATCATTGATGTTTCTATCTCTCTCTCCCTCTCCCTTCCTCTCTGAAATCAATAAAGATATATTTTTTAAAAAATGGAAATCTCTCTAGAATGTTTTATGCATTTCACTTTAAAAATTGCTCATAGAGACCCCAACACCAGAGAGCCCCCTAATGTGTTGCCAGTGACTCCGGCTAAGAGTGCTCATGCCTTCCATAAAGATGGCTTTGGTGGTGGGGCAACACTAACTGCTCCTTTACCAAATAACCTCAGAATTCTTTTCTTTTTACTTGTTTTCCTTGAAGATCTTTTGCTTTCTCCTTTCATTAGTCATCAGGCTTCTACTGCATTTCCATGAGATGAGCCCTCTCCCGACACATAGAAAATATTAGTTCAAAAAGTAATGTTATTTCAGCCTCATCTTGGAAGTAGTGAGTAAGGAATGCATTTTGCTGAAGCTGTTTTTCTTTATCTCCAAGGTTGGTTTTCCAGACAGTTAAAATGGTGCGAAGTCTCGCTCAGTGTTAGATAAATCTGGTACTAGACTTTGTTATTAGATTATAGGAGGGTTTATAGCTGTTCCAGTTACTGGAAATGAATTATCATTCTGATATTCTTTTATCTGATTATCATTCTCAGGATCACTCATTTATTGCACAGAATATTTCTTGAGCATGTACTACATATTGCAGGCTCTGCTTTGAAGTCGGAAAAGGACCTGCTCTCTGAGAACTGACATTCTAATGAATGGAGACAACCAGTAAAAAGCACATTGCTGTTTCAGGTACTAGTAAAAACGATGGCAGCAGTAAAGGTGACCGATGGGGCAAGGGCAGTTATTGTTGTTGGTGGGTATGTTGGTGTCCTGGGGCTGCTGTAACAAAGTACCATGAACGGTGTGGCGCAAAATGGTAGAAATGTATTCTCACACAGTGCTGGAGGCCAGAAATCCAAAATCAAGATGGATCTTTCCTTGCCTCTTCTACCTTCTGCAGTCGCAGGAATTCCTTGGCGTGTGGTAGCATAAATCCAGTCTCTGCCTCCTTCACCTGTTCATCCTTCGAGCCGCTGTCTGTGTGTATTCTCTTCATATAAAGACACCAGTCACAATGGATTAAGGGCTGACCTCTTAACTAATTACCTTGCAACAACATTCTGAGATTTTGGGGGTTAAGACTTCACATCTTTTTGAGGGACACAGTTCAACCCCTAACAGTGGATTTCTTTGGGCGGGCTGGCCAGGCAACGCCTTGCTAGGTGGAGACATTCGAGTTGAGCCTGAATGATGGAAAGGGGCAGGTTGTGGAAAAAAATCTGGGTGTAGATTCTTTTCTAGCTACGCGAACAGCAAGTGCAAGAACCTGGGGAATGAGCCTGTTGGCATCTAAGATATGTACATGAACTTTACACTCTTAAAGAGGGCAAACAAATGTCTCATTTGAGAAGTTTACTTTTATAGTTCAAGTTGATAGGATTTTAGTTTTGAACATTCTTGGATTTTTTTAAAAAAAATAAATTATATTGATTTTTCTACAGAGAGGAAGGGAGAGGGATAGAGAGTTAGAAACATCGATGAGAGAGAAACATCGATCAGCTGCCTCCTGCACACCTCCTACTGGGGATGTGCCCGCAACCAAGGTACATGCCCTTGACCAGAATCGAACCTAGGACCTTTCAGTCTGCAGGCCGACGCTCTATCCACTGAGCCAAACCGGTTAGGGCTCTTGGATGTTTTTTACTTCTGGTCAGGCAAAGACTGAAATAATTTTTCTTCAAAAATTAATTATTGCCCTAGATGGTTTGGCTCAATGGATAGAGCGTTGGCCTGCAGACTGAAGGGTCCCTGGTTCCATTCCAGTCAAGGGAACATGTCCAGGTTGCACGCTCGATCCCCAGTAGGGAGTGTGCAGGAAGCAGCCAGTCAATGATTCTCTCTCATCATTGATGTTTCTGTTTCTCTCTCCCTCTCTCTTCCTCTCTGAAGTCCATAAAATAATAACAATAATTTAAAAAATTAATTACTGAGGAGCCAGGTCTTTAAGTATTAGCTATCTGTGACTCTGGGCATGGGACCATCTGCTTAATAAATCCTTACTTTCTTGGCTGCAAGAAAACAACACAACAAAAAACAAAAATACTTGAAGACAAAACAAAACAAAAACTGCTGAGAAATCAGGCCTACTGACAGTGGCTAATCACATTTTAAGAATTTTGTTGATTAAAATTTTACTTTGCATTTTTTTTAAAAATGTATTTTATTGATTTTTTACAGAGAGGAAGGAAGAGGGATAGAGAGTTAGAAACATCAATGAGAGAGAAACATCGATCAGCTGCCTCCTGCACACTCCCTACTGGGGATGTGCCCGCAACCCAGGTACATGCCCTTAACCGGAATCGAACCTGGGACCCTTGAGTCCGTAGGCCGACGCTCTATCCGCTGAGCCAAACCGGTTAGGGCTCACTTTGCATTTTAATAGTAGAATTTTTCATCACCATGTTTGGGTTATTAAACTAAAAGCTTAAAGTATAACAACATCTGAAAATTGCGTAGACTTTGTAATAGTAGAGATTATTCTCTAGTGATAAGAAATTAAGGTTAAATATAGTCCTTAAAAACCTATCATCATATATTAAATTGTCATTTTCAACAGGATTATAACATTATTGTGGTTGTACTCTGTGCCACCTAGAGCTAAGTAGCCTTAGTATGATTTATCTTACATACTTACGAATATTTTTAGTTTCTCTCTCTTTCCCTCTCCCTTCCTCTCTCTCTAAAAATCCTTGAAAAGTCTTTAAAAAATCAATACAGAATACAAAAAATCTATATGGAAATGCAAATTGCACAAGATAGTCAAGAAGATTTCATGTAAGATGGTAACACCTTTTAAGTATCCAGAAGTAGGATAAAATAGCCTAAAATATTGTAATATTTAATGCAAAAGTGACATGAAATATGCATTAGTAAATTATATATGTGTACTTTAGTCATACCTTTGATGTAGTTAATACAGATATATTTGTTTATATTATAAATAACAAGTTTCCATAAAAAGTTCTAACTAAGTTCAAAAATACTTATGTAGATTTAGATTTTTATAGTGAATGGCTATTTAAGTAAGATTTGGAATTACAAACACAGATTGAGACTAAAGCTGCCTGGGTTCAAATCTTAGCTTTGCCTTGTCCAGCTCTGTGACCTTGACTAAGTCCTTTAACTGTTTGCCTTATTGCCTCATTCATGAAATGAAAAATATAAAGATAGTACCTAAAACAAAGGGTTGATGGGAGGATAGAGTGAATTAGTGCATATACACTTCTTAGAATGGGCACATAGTAAGTGCTGTTATACTTTTTAGCATGTCAACTGAAAATTGATATATTAATATTCATAATAGGAAAACTTAGGTAAAATGTACATACAGTGTCTCTTATTCCTTGTTACAAATCATAAGCTAATTTGAGAGAGATAGGAAAATTTCCCACAGTGTTTGTAAGGGTCTGTTTTAATGTTAAAAATCTGTTAAAAGTATTTTATATGCTATCCACTTAGTTACTTATAGCAGTGACTATGTTCAGGAGATTTTGTTAGGTCTTAAGGGAGAAAGAAAGATGATTAAGCTGTCAATCCTGCTCTCAAGAATTTACCCATCCAATAGGGGAGATAAGACATAATTTGCTATAATACATAGTATAATGAGGTAAGTGTCACATCAGGAATCTGATTTAGCGCTGTGAGCACCTCTGGAAGCAGGGAAGCATCGAGGAGGTACTGTGGGTAAGAGGGGCGTGGCTAAACATTTAGGCACTGGTGACATTTTTAGAAGATGGGAAGAGCAGGAGGTATCCGAGGTAGAGAAGGAACAGTCAGATAAATGGGAAAAGGACAGAGAATCGTGTCCTCAAGTCAAGAGAGGAAAGAATTTCTAGGAGGAGGTTTGGACTGTCATCCCAAATATTATAGAAAAGTCAAGGAGAGAACATGAAAAGCAATTCCCTCATCTTTTCTGGGGGCCAGAAAGATTGAGCTGGGGATTCATTGGCTTTTCTTGACAAAGTAACACTGTAATAGGATTTCTGTACTTATATATCTGAAAAAGCATCAGATCAGCTGGGATATAGTTTATTTATATTGATGTGATTCAAACAAAGTGGAGGTTATTTATTTATTTATTTTTAGTCTCTTAAAGATCACTTTCAAGACCACCTACCATTCATTTAGCATTTTTTTTGTCTGCCATACATTCTCCTAACCATTTGAGATGATCATCCTCTCCTTTAAAGCCTTGTAGCTGCTCTTGCAGTAGATACTGTCACTTCCATTTTACAGATGAGGAGGCCATGTCCACAGAAGAGATAGCCAACTCACAATCCATCTTTCGGAAGTGACCAAGCTGAATTCCAACTCAGCCTCTCTGGTCCCAAAGCCCGGATTCTTAACCAGTTATTTTAGGGATAAAGTTGTTTAATAACCTCAAGGCATTTTAGACGCAGAGGTGAATACCCAACTTCCACCGATGACCAGCCTCACTGGCCTGCTTGCTGTTCTTTAAATAAACCCGGTTATTCCCATTGCAGGGCTGTGGCGCTTGTTCTTTTTCTTTCTTTAGAATACTCTTCCTGCTGCTTTGCCTTATGGGCTCCTCCTCACCTTTCCTGTGTCATCTGGAATGTCAGTGAGGCCTTTTCCAGCCCTCCACTAAAGTGCGTCCACCCCCACCCCCACCCCAGGGCATCCCATCTGAGAACATCTCCTTCCTGATGTGTTCATTTGTTGTGATTGGTCTAATTCTCAGTGTGTGCCTTAGGTACTGATGATTCCCAGGATCTAGGATAGGTGATCTAAACTGTTTGTGGAATAAATGCATGTGAAAACATAGACACAATGATAGCTCATGCATGTGCAGTTTATTGTATATCAGCCATTGTTTTAAGCACTTTATTTGAATTAACTCATTTAGTTCTCACAATAATGGTGTTGGTTAGTACTATTATTAGCTCCATTTTAGAGATGAGAAACTGAGGCACACAGAGGTTAAATAACTTGCCAAAGTGATTTCTTTAGCTATAACATGGGGATGTATTAGGACCTAACTTTCAAATTGTGTCTAGTTCTGTACTCTTCTGGCTCATAATAAAAACTAACCGGTCAGCAGTGGTATTGGGAATCATCACTGCTGTAGAGGTAGCAGCATCAAACACATGGCAACTATAATAGCCATAGAGAATGTAATTGGCTCTTAGTTTTTAAGTTAATGGGTAAATATTTAAATAAAATACTTCTTTCAAATTTAACTTTGTCTAACTCACCTGGCATTTAGTACATCACTGGTATTTAGTGACTATTACTTAATGATAATTTATGATTTTTTTTTATTTTCTGAGAGAAAATTGGATGTAGCATGTGTCCTTTAGATTCTGGATTGGATGCTATGGTTTTTCTATCTTCAGTGTATAAATACTATCTGACAGATAGTAAATAAGACCAAATTGTTAATCCTGATTGGTGACGAAAAGAAATAAATATAAAACCCAGTTTCCTAAAATCAAATGACAACTTCCATGTGTCATTTTGTAAAGGCAGCCTTTTAATTTTTGGCTTTATGCAGAAGTTCTGCTTTAAATAAATAAAAATAAACATTCTTTTCCCTCCTCTCTGCTGTTCTTCCCCAAGCCCCAACCATTACCCCTTCCACACACTTGTTATTTCTGTTGATTTGCTCCTGAGGATGCTTGTGTGTTTGCTGCTCAGTGTTTTTCTTGGTCTTTTTAGAAGAAGACACA